CCCGGCCACTTGGAGTGCTAAAATTCTAAATCTACAGCCCTCGGGGAGTGAGAAGCGCTTGTAAACTTATCTGAAACTAGTGAAGGGGCTGCGGTGCAGCACAGCAGGCAGGAAGCAGAATGCCACCGGGAACACCCACGGGACCTGCCCTGGTGTGGCCCGGTGCTCGGTAAAAGCCAGCGCCCGGCAATCGGCTCTGCACGCAGGCACTGCTCAGAAACAGCACTTAGCTCGGCTCACACTCTAGTTCACACGCTGCGACGTCCCAGTGCCGCCCGAGCTGCGCTTCCTGTTGCCCGGCTCTCCGTGAAACAGCCCCATCATCCATGTGCTGAAATAATATTGCCTTCCTGTTTGGGGGATTTCCAGCCAGGCCAGGAAGTCAGATGCCAAACCAGGGCTCTGCAGGTGACCCGTTAGGACTAAATGAGCAGCTATGTTTGCTATTTTCAAAGAAGCTTCTAGAGAGAACTCCAGAAAGAACATCGCAGCTCCCCAAGCTGTGGTGAGCAGTGAGCCGCCCTGCTCAGACGGCCCTACTGAAGGCAGCTTTGCCTCTGGGGGGAGGTCCTCAGCGGCTCTACCCCAACACGGCCAGTCCTATGCACAGGGCCATTTAAAGTTGGAAGCAACAACACAAACCAATGAACAAGTTTCACAGTTGCTTACCTGGCAGGAAACGCCACAGGTTTAGGTTGTAGCCTTTAATAAAAGCTAAAAGCCTGTAAATGTGCAAATAAACCAAAAGCCTTCAGTGTAAAACCCTGTCATCTTGGACTCTATATGAACACACCATTCCTCCTACTGTTAATCAACCTCTATACCATGTCCACCTTTAACTGACTTTACTCTCTTTTTGGCTGTCAGCGAGCTGCAATGCTCAATGCCTGTACAATTTGGATCTTATTGATAACCATCGTCTCCTGCAAAGCCTTGTAGCTACTGGGTACTTGGTTCACTATTCACTGTTGATTAAGTATCTCCCTATAAGGGCCGGGAAGATGGCTCAGTGGAATAAGCGCTTCCCTGGCAAGCACAAGGGTCTGAGTTCAATCCCTGGTTCCACAAAAAGAAAAAAAAAAAAAAATCTCCCTATAAAAGTGACCTTTTCTCTTTTCATATTAGTTTGGGGAAAAGTGCTAAAGGGGGAGATTGCTAGGCTACAAAGTTATATTGTCCTTTTTTTTTTTTTTCTTTTTTCTTTTTTGTGGTACCAGGGATCAAACTCAGGATAATAGGCTACAAAGTCAAACAGGACCTCTGATCTTTGTTTCAGAATTGATATCAGGAACACTGTGTTGTGTATTGTGAAGCCAGTTGTGGCATAAATGTCAACATCTTGAAGTTTTGGCAACTTAATAATTTCAATTTTATTTCCCAGGGGCTGGTGAGATGGCTCAGTGGTCTAAGGCACCTACTTAGAACAAGCTGAGCTAAGCAAAACACAGAGACCACGGTTCAATCCCCCAGCACCACATGCCAGCCAGCCCTGCCCCCTGGTGGGCTGAGCTGGCCACACACACACACAAAATAAATAAATAAATAAATAAATAAATAATCTTTAAAAAAAAAAATTTATTTCCCAGTTTAATAGAGGCATTCTGGTTTGTGTCTAGTTGTCTTGCCCAAAGCCTTGTGCACTCATGGGGTGCTTCTAGAGTTTATGACTAATTATTGTTCCAGTGCTGGGATTGCAGGTGTGACTGCTACACTCTGGCCTGGGCTGGGTAATCTGCGTTACCACGTAAGGAGGGGAGAGAGGCAGGCTAGCTGCCAGGGCTGCTGTTTCTCCCTTTTGCTCTCTGCTCTTGCTGCAGCCATGAATGACTGCTCTTGTACCATGTGCCACTCTGCCTTGGAGCCAGCTGAGTACGGACTGAAACCTCCACTAACTATGAGCGAAATAAACTTTTCCTTCCTTAATTCTGGGTGTTGGGTATTTTGTCCCAGCAATGAGTGAAGAGTAACTGAGGCAAGCAGAGAGGTATTAATTCTCAGTTTTTGTTTACAGTCAAAATTCTGAGGTTGCCTCTGCCGCCTGACGTCCTTCGGTGTGAGTTTCTTTCTGTGCCTGCTCTCCAGGCTGCCACTGTTTAGGGCTGGATGCAGCACTGTGTAGTTTATGTCTTTATTTTTACTTCCTGTGTGTTCCCAGCAGATTCCTCCTCCTTTTTCTTTAAATTAATGTTCTAGGGGCCAGGGAGATGGCTCAGTAGATTAAGCGCCTGCCTGGCAAGCACAGGGTCCTGAGTTCAATCCCTGGTACCACAAAAAAAAAAAAAAAAAAAAAAAAGAATGCTCTCCCCGTCTCACCTGAAACGCACAGAGCTTCTGTATTTCCTCAGAACCGGTGCTCACTGTCTCCACGGCATTTGTAAGGTGATGGTTGTCCTTCTGCCTACTTTTTCTGGTCACATCTGTTATTAAACTTCTACATAGTTACCTGCATTATTTTGTCAGCCTGCTTTCCAGGTGTGTGGGTGCTTGTGTGTGTGTGTGTGGGGGGTGCGTGTGTGGGTGTGTGTGGGGTGTGTGTTGAGACAGGGTCTCACTATACAGTCCAGGATGACCTTGAACTGTGGCAACCCCTCTCCTGCCTCAGCTTCTCAAGTTCTGGGCTTATAGGCATGCACCACCATGCCCAACTCTGTTTTTCTGTTTTTAAAGCTGTACAGTTTTGGGGCTGGGCGGATAGCTCAGTGGACTAAAGTGCCTCCTTAGGCAGACACAGGAACCGGGTTCGATCCCCAGTGTGCTGCGCTGGTCCCGTCCGCAGGGTGCTGAGATGGCGATTGTGACTGGGCATGGTGGTGAGTGCCTGTAATCCCAGCACTTGGGAGGCTGAAAACAGCAGGATCACTAGGAGTCCAGTCTGTGTAGTGAGACCCTGTAGACCCTGGACTAAATACATTTAAAAAAAAAAAAAGCTGTGCGGTTTGGGACACATGCACCAGTGTTTTCAAGTGAGGTAAAGTAAGTCACACATTGCTTCCTTATTCTTTTTAAAGTAAAAACAAGAAGCAGTTTCTCAGTCACATGGAAGCACACAGGTACCTTCTCCATCAGCTCCTTCGCAATGTCGCCCATCTCTGCGTCCCCAGGCACCGGACACTCCTCGATGAGCAGCCGCGGGTGCCTCCGTGTGCTGGGTGCTGCTGGGTGCTTGGGGCTGCAACAGGGAGCGAGTTCATGTTGGCAGGGTGTCTGTGACATGGTTGTGGGGCAGCATCTTTTGAGCCAGGACCTTGGAATCTTTTTTTTTCTGTCTTTTTGAGACAGGATTTCCTTATCAGCGCAGGGTGGCCGCTAACTGATGGCACTCCTCCTGCCTCGGCCTTCCCAGTGATGGGAGCAGAGGTGTGTGCCGCCATGCTTGGCCCATTTAGATTTTTTGTTCACATACTCTTTTCTTCTGCATGCTTCTGGGGATCAAACCCAGGGCCTTGTGCCTGCTAGGCTACCACTGGACCACTAGGTCAGTCTCAGCCACATGTGCAGCCTTTTGGAGCCCCTTCCTAACCCTCCAGTTTTCCTAGTCTCTCACTCTTCCTCTTGGTGCGTTTGTTGTTCACTGTCTCACAGTCAGAGCTGCTGATCCATCACTAGAAAGACAGAACAGCCACTTTTCACTCTGGTCTTGGAGATGGCTTGGGAGAGTTGTGTAGAGAACCATAACGCGTTAATTAAAGCATCATTTCAGTTATTTTTATTCTTCATTGGAAGGGGCAGCAGCATTTTTGCCATAAAAAGCTGCCAAATGTGCAATCTAGGCACACAAAGGTGGTGGCAGTAGTGTTTAGAAAAGCAGCTACTAATGTTTAGAAAGTAATACAAAATGGGGCAGGGGATGGTGGCACATGCAGGCTCTCAGCTCGCTGGAGGCTGAGCAGGAGGGTAGGAAGTTCCAGGCCAGCCTGGGACCCTTAGCGAGACTGCGTCTCCAATGGAGGAGGCAGCATGTGTGGCTGAGGCTGCAGGCTACGGCTGTAACGTGAGGCTTTCACCTGGTGGCAGGTAGACTCTGGTGTCGCACTTCAGGGAGAAGTGACGTGGGTCTATCCAGTCTGCGAGCCCAGCCTGGTGCTCTGCTGCACAAGAGTGTCCCAGGGCTCCCATGCAGACGTGGGGTCCTTCCCTGCTGGCACTGTGCCCGAGCCCGATGGTTCCCTCCTACTCTGCCTCTGTCCCTGTCCCATACAGCCCTCTCCACACCTACATGTCAGCAGGGAGCATCTGTCCATTGCATTTCAAGGACAGAGTGGGAATTTCCTTGCCCTGTTCAGCTTCAACTGCTGCCCACAGTAGCCAAAAGCAACCACAACCTCCACCCTTCCTGCTTCTGCAGAGCTGTGACTCCCGCGGCCCCCATGGCTCACCTGGCTTTCGGCCGCAGCAGTACCGCTCGGTATAGGTGGCTGGCGGGCAGGGGCGCGCGTGGGCCCGAGGGGTGCAGGATGGGGTGCAGGGCCCCCACCACATAGCCCTGGAGGTAGTAGGCCTCCACCTTGGTGGCTATGTCCTCCACTGAGTGTATCCTGATCACCTCTGGGTGAGACGAGGCTGAGGGCAAAAGCAGGGATAAATTTGCAGGTATGCAGACACTGGTATGTGGTTTCAAGTGCGAGGGGACACCGCTGGGCGAGCCCGGGTAAGGTCTCAGATGCACCACATGAGCGTGCGCGGAAGCTTTTCTTTTGGGGCCGGGGCCATGC